TTTTCAGAATTTTCGTTCCTCATCATCCCTCAAAAATTTCATTTTCTAATTTTCAGGGTTTTCAAAATTTTTATTATTTCCAAAATTTCCAAAATCTTCAATGAAGTAAAAATTATGAAAACATTTTAAATTTATAAAAATCTTTGAAATTTTGAAAAACTTTGAAAGCAATTAAAAACTGAATTTTACAAAATATTCATTTTTGAAAATTTTCAAATTTTTTTGTTTTCGGCATTTTCAAAATTTTCATAATGTTGTAAACTTCCAACGTTTTTCAAAATCTCCAGGTTTTTCGAAATTTTCAAGATTTTCGAAAGTTAAAACATTTTAGAGATTTCAAATTTTATGTTTACATCGTTTTCAAGATATCCAGTATTTTCAAGCTTTTGCAATTTTCAAACATTGAAAAAATTTCAGGTCTGTTAAATTTACAAAATTTGAGTTGAATTTATTTGAAATTTTCAAAATTTAATTTTTGTGTTTCCTAATTTTGATTTTCAGTACTGTCAGGATTTTGAAAATTCTCCAAACTTTCAAGATTTTCAGAATTTTCGTTCCTTAGCATCCCTCAAAAATTTCATTTTCTAATTTTCAGGGTTTTCAAAATTTTTATTATTTCCAAAATCTTCAATGAAGTAAACATTTTGAAAACATTCTAAATTTATAAAAATCTTTGAAATTTTGAAAAACTTGGAAAGCAATAAAAACTGAATTTTACAAAATATCCATTTTTAAATATTTTCAAATTTTTTCGTTTTCGGCATTTTCAAAATTTTCATAATGTAAACTTCCAACGTTTTTCAAAATCTCCAAGTTTTTCGATATTTTCATATTACAAAATTTTCTGTTTTCAAAGGTTTTGCAATTTAAAAAATTTTGAAGGTTTTCGAAATTTTAAAATCGTAAATTTTTCAAAAATTCCTCTTAAAATTTACAGGATTCTCAAAATGTTCAATAACATCAAAATTTGCGAAATTTTCAAAATTAACTGTTTCGTTTTTTCAATTTCTTATAATGTTCAAATCTTTAAAAAATTTCTTTTCCAAAATTTTCAGGATTTCCGAAATTTCTTGTTATCAATGTTTTCAAAATTTACAATATTTAGAAGAGTTTGCAATTTTTAAAACTTCAAAGATTTTCATTCATTTTTCGAAATTTTCATAATTTTCGTGTTTATCAAAATTTTCCAGGATTTTTCAAAATTTCAAAACTGAAAAGACGGCCAACCGTGTTTCGTGCTCTTTGACGACTTATAAGCATAGTCTACGCTTACTCTCACATATGAACTGGGATACAGTAGACATCT